ATCGCAACCAATGCTATACTCCATACGAAACAAGAGCTCAATAATCATGAATGTTATCAAAAACTGGTCAACACTTTCAATGAACACTGTTTTAACTTATCACAAGTATGCAGTTGTTATACATTTTGTTTTTAAAAATATTTAATTAGTCAATTAAATTAATAATAATTTCTATCACAGAATACATACCTATTGAGAAAAATGCAAATATTTGTGAATATCTGCGAACAAATGCGTGACTCGAGTGATGCGAACATTGCTGTCAACCGATTGATACAACACTGCGATAGAAATCATAAAATATTTGAAAATATTGTTTAAATTTTAATGAATATTGCACTTCAAAATTAATTAAATTATTCAAAAAGTTTTTATTAAAATAATTTTTAAGAATTAAAAAGAAATATAATTATTAACTGCATTTGTTGCTTTATTTATAACAAATGTTATAAACTTAACATTAATTTGAATTAATCAATTTTAATTGTACTTTATAATTTTAATTCTACCTTTAATTTTAAACTTAAATTGCTAAAATAACTAAACTATTACATTAAGATCTTTACTGTATTGTATATTAATAATATAAACCATTTGTGCTTTTTAATTTTAAACCAGTTATTTTTTATCTTATTTTAAAAAACTTTGAAAAAGTCAGAGATATAATAAAATTTTCTAAAAAGTCTTTAATAAATTACCCCACGTTGATTTCTAAGTAATACATAATTAGTTTAAGTAAACTTAATATATAATGATAATTATTATTATTATTATCTAATTTTAAGTATTTTATAAAAACAGCTGCATTATATAGATTATTTTGAAAATCACATGAACTTTCTTAGGCACATTGATAATCACCATTGTACTTTTGTAATTACCTAATAGGATTGCAACTAATTATTCGAGTTTACATTGTATAAATAGTGAGTTTATATTACAAAATTTATTTACTTTTAATAACCATTGTAATAATCTATATAATTTAATAATAATGATATCCTTGCTAATATTTTCAGCTATTATTATAACAGGAAGTGCTATACCACTAAACGAGCAATTGACCCAGGCTAATGACGTAACTAAATGGGTACTACTATGCGCTGGCAGTAATGGATGGGAGAATTATGCTGACCAGGTATGTTTAGATAATTAATGCAAATATTGTATTACTTATTATTTTTTTATATGAATTACAGGCACTGGTATACCGGGCCTACCATATGTTCCGGTCGTATGGCATACCTGAAGACCATATAATTATTTTCCATTACGACGACATCGCTAATAATAAACAAAACCCGACACCCGGTATAGTAATCAATGAGATCGGAGGTCCCGATGTCTATAAGGGTGTCCCAAAAGACTACACCGGAAAGGACGTTACCCCTAAAGTAAACAAAAATAGTTTATTTTTAATTCATTTAGAATTTTAAAATTAATTTTACAATTATTAAGAACTTCTTGGGGGCACTAACTGGCGATCAGCAATTGGCTGACCAAGGTAAAAAAGTAATTAAAAGTGGACCAAACGATCACATATTTGCTTACTTTGGTGACCACGGATCAAATGGTAAATATTTATATGGGATATAATAACAAGTAAAATTAATTTTCACGATTTGTTTTAAACAGACCTGGTATCATTTGCCACGGGCATTCTGTATGCTAAAGATTTAAATAACGCGCTTATTGATATGCATAGCAAACAAAAATTTGCCAAGCTTGTATTTTATATCGATACGTGTCATTCAGGTATGATGCTAATATTTGCATGAAATAAGCTTATCCCTTTATCGTAACATTATTTTTAAAATAAATGTTACCTAGGTTCCATGTTTTACAAGCACTTGCCTGATAATATCAATGTATACGCGGCCACGTCATCCCTGCCCACTGAGGACAGTTGGTTCTGGAATTACGATAAGACACGTGGCACGTATTTAAGTGAGTTTTGAACTTGGTAGATTTAAATCAAACATACACACCTAACATTATTATACAAAAAATAGTTTATGATATATTTATGATGTTTTAATGTGTTTTTTATATCAAGGTGCATTCTTTGCGAACAATTGGCTAGAAAATGATCAGAATTTTGATTTGACCAAGGAGACCTTTCAGGAGCAGTATAAATATTTCGCTGATAGATATAATGTAAGTGGTGCAACTCAGCATGCTCAACACTATGGCGATATGTCACTGGGCAACTTATATGTATCGGAATTTTTAGGTAGGGCTGTAAAAATTAATATAGATTTTTTACTTACAATAATTATTTGCAAATAAATATATTTCTGAATACCCAGGTCATAAACCTTCAAAACTGTTACAGCAAACTGTTGATAAATCTGCACAAAATTATGAGGCAATTAGCAAATGGGATGTTTCACTGGATTTACTACAGAGACGTATTAAATCAACAAATGACTTGCATTTGAAGATTAAGTAATATTATAATAAATTTAATACTTTTGAGGTTAAAATTATAAAATAAAATCTATTATAATAATAGATATACCGAAGAGTTGGAGCATTTTCTTAAGGCCAGACAGTATGCGGACAACCATATGACTGAATACGTGAATAGTATTCAACACTTAATGGCAAACATCGCAACCAATGCTATACTCCATACGAAACAAGAGCTCAATAATCATAAATGCTATCGAAAACTGGTCGATACTTTCAATGATAATTGTTTTAATCTAGCTCAAGTAAACTTTGTTTAATTTATTTATAATTAGTGTATAATTAATAATTTTTATTCACAGAACACATACCTATTGAGAAAAATGCAAATATTTGTGAATATTTGCGAACAAATGGATGACTCGAGTGATGCGGACATTGCGGTCAACCGATTGATACAACACTGCAAAAGCAATGCTAATCAAGAATTTCATAAAATCTTATAAACTTTGAAATTGTATTAAATTATTTTATTATAATTCTTACATTTCTATCTAATTTACTAAAATACATAATAAATATAATAAAATGTGCCAAGCAAACTAAAAGACTGTTCAAAAATATAAAATAAATATAAATAGTTTTCTTAATGTTAATGTCATTAAAGCTAATAAACTATTGTCAAAAAAACGTGACAATTATTTTGATAATCATACTAATTAAAATGATCGATTTCCAATATCCATTATAAGTTTAAAATGTGTTATGTATTGTAATTTATAAAAAGTTTATTTGTGCCTGATTATTTATGCCCAACTAAAACTTATAACTTAATGCACGTGCTTATCAACCAATACCTCCCGTTGTGTTTGTATACAAAAAGTTGTATGACTTTTAGGTTATTATCAGCTAACCACTTTAACCACTTTAGTTTAAATAATTCATATGACATATTAATATATGATTTATGATACGATTAATTGAGTAATAGTGTACTCATGAAATATACCTTTGATACAATTTATATCAATTTCTTAGGTACAGTAATGTAAAAGGGTTTATATGTACAGTATGAATTTATATTAAATACTTATAATTTATGTAACATAAATACAAAAAACAACAACATGTTTTTATAAAATAATAATTCCATTAACAAATAATATTAAAAACAATGTTTGTGAGTGAGTGAGTGAGTGAGTGAGTGAGAGAGAGAGAGAGAGAGAGAG